GTTTTTGAGAATTGGGCCGTGTTCATTTCAGGCAAGATAAAAAGCTATGATTATAATCAGAATTTTAATTTTTTTAATGCACTGAGAAATGTATTTGCTGTCATGCAGACACACTTTTTCCAACAATTGTGCATTTCATGAAAAGCTTTTTGGGCCAGTGAAAATCATATGAACGTGGTGGTTAAGAAACCCGACTCTACTGTCGATATTTTAAGTTTTACATTCTTAATACATCAAGGCTTTAACGTCATTCCTGTTTTTCAGTTATGGATTATTGGTTTAACAAAACAGCTAAAGCAGCTTGATTCACTAAATGATTATTGATCTAGGAGGGCAATAAAAGTAAAGCAATCATTGCATCCAGAAGTCATCTTTGTGCTAAATATGGTATCTGTCTTTGTGTCATGGAAAATAACTACTCTGCATAGCTGCTAGTCATCTCTTTTATGGAGAAACTCAATACATTCCCTTAAAAATACAAGAGACCTATTAACACAATTAAAGACTCACAAAAACAAATATACTTTGCAGGCATATCCGGACATGTCAGACCAATGATAATAACATGGGACAAGCTGTGGCACAGTAATCTACATATGAAGCAGGACAGGATTAAGGCTAAGCGCGGTCATAATGTACAAAATTACAAAACAGAGACTTTGGGCTTGTGTGTATGTGTTTATATTGTCATTTTAAATTCCTAAATCTGCCCTTTTTTTAGGTAACACACTTCACTAACTTGAGTCCTATCCTGTAGTTGCATTTGGGATCAGGTTGTTTCTACATAGAATATTCCAGTTCTGTTTATAAGCCTCTCAAAATAGCCTCATGGTGCCTCTTTTATAAATACCATAGTACGCTTAAGACTCACAAACACCATTTCCTCTGTCATTTCAGTCAGTGTGGATTTGATAGCAGTGAAGTGAAAATACCCCAGATGAAGTAGCATCTAGTCCAAGTGCTCACATCCTGTATTTGCATCAGTGCATGTGTTATTGTGCCAGATGCTAAAGGCATTAAATCCCCAGTGAAGCAGTCAAAGTCTTTGGCAAAGCCACAGTCCAGAAACAGGCTTGATATACCCGCTGGACATCTAAGAGATGGGGGTGGGTTGGGGAGCTTAGTCTTTAGTACTTCTCTATTATTTTTTATTTTTTGCTTTTTGTAAGATAGCATCAAAGTTAGCATTCTTCTGATGTTTATGAAAATTCCTGGACGTGCATTAAAGTTGACTAAAGTGTGTTCACATCGATCTATGAAGTATTACAGCTGCACGCCTCCTGCCATGTCTCTTCTCCTGCCTAATCATTTTCACGATTCACACAAAAATACATTCTTTTTAAAAATGTGAAAATCACCTGTGTGTTGGTTGTCTTTTTCTCCCTTATTGTCTGTACAAAAGTCAGTTTTTTACAATACTTTTAGAGCTATCTGCAGCATCCTGAACTTCTGGTCGAGCAGAGCCAGCAGTGTCTCACTGTTTTCTTGTTTTTAAATACGTTGCTAGAAACTTAATGATCAATGATCCCATTCTTTTCTTTCTAAAATTACTTCTCACATATTGAATGTGTATATTAAAGATATTTTCCTATATATTGATAACAAGAATAATCGACCTTACTGATTAATGCCAGTGTTATTATTTCCCGATCAATTGGATTGATATTGAACAGCTGATAAATTAAAAATAAAGACCTTTCCGATTTTCAAATGAGAAAATATCAGTACCGATATTGGTCTTAAAATTCTGTATTGATTAAACTCCAGTACTCACCGGGAAATTATCCCAGTATCAGTTGAGTATTAAAACTAACCTACTTTCTTTGTCTCAAAGTGTAATTCACTGAACATATGTGGCTGATTAATCCACTCACTGCAGTCTGTTGGTGTTCTTGTCTTTAAATGTTTTAATTGCTCTGTCTTAATAATCTGCCTGTTGAATTGTATGTTCGCTTCAGCACTGCCTTCATTGTAAATTGATCGATTCTTCTGTGATAATGGCCTAAATTATGTTCTTATTGATTAATCAGCCATTTGTGTTCTTCATTAACTGACACTTATCTTGTCAGACAAAATGTCCATGTTAACAAAAGGAAAGCAGCAGATAATTAGGAAGCTGGAGCCATAAAATTCTGGGCATCTGTCTTAGTTGTTAATGATTTTTCAGTCAATAAATGGCGATTTAATGAATTAGTTATGTGTGAAAAAATAAATCCACATTTATTTAGGTAATTGTGGGCTAGTTTGGTGCCAAAATGACCAAATATTAAAAGACTCCAGCTTTTATGAGCAGTTTATGCAGTCGTCTGCTAAGCATAGGAAGTATGTAAGACATTGTGCATTGCATGATTTTACAGAATTGCATTTCAGGAGCAGTGAAGAATGGCAGACTGATTGAGTGCCAAATACAAGCTGCCTGTATAGTGTCACATATAGCACGAGGACACACATGGCAGGACGGTATATGGAGCAACGAGGCGAAGAAGCAGACATGTGTGCCTGCCTAAACCGCAGACAGCCTCCGTTCAGTGAATAATTGATAACGACAACAGCACTGTAGGTAGTTACGGCACTAAAATGGATTTGTATACAATTTTGTAGACTGATATCTGTTGGCTCACAGATCAGTTGACTCTAATCTGTCTGCAGGATTTTCTCGCCATTAGATGATTAAAATTTTTTGTTCATTTTTTTTCCTTTTCCTCTTCAGCCAAAACTATTATATCCCAGTCCAGCATCCAGGAGGCTGGTAAACAGATGCTGCTTTCTCCGAAACACAAATGCTGAGGAGGACAAATCTGAGTGCTTCCAGAGGCTGAAGTGATGCAATAAAGTCATAAAATAAATCAGTGGATGCCTCAACTGAGTGGCTGTCAGTGCGAAACTGATACTGAGTGAAGGAAAGGCAGAGAGAGACACAGGCACAGTGGCAGGGGTGATAAAAAATAAGATGCTAATAAACGCAATAAACTAATACACAGATGAATGTAAAGGGAGTGGAGGAGAGATGGATGGTCAACAATGGAGGAACTGAGGGTTTGTGTGTGTGTGTGTGTGCTGGGGCTCTTTGGTGACTAATCATTTCCGTGCGCGACGCAGAGAGAGACACACAGCTCCCTCGGGGCCAGCAGTTCATTTTCTGATGAGTGCACACATGCGAGCGAACACGCACACAAGGACACACACATGAACTTGCAATCTCCCCCACCCCCACCCACCCGCTTCCTTTAATAATCTGCAGACAGAATACAGTCATCGGTTTATGGGAGCATGAATTGCGCACGGGCACACTCGCACAAAAAGTGATGTCACAAGGTTTCCTATTCCACGTTTAAATGTCAGATTGAGCACAATGCTTTCAGATAGGCACAATAACAACCTGAGCGCGCTCACTTCCTTTCAGCCTCGGTAAATGCTGCAAGCCAAACCACAAAAAGAATCGCTGCTCTGTGGCACTTGAGATTTTCAGTGTGGGTAATTTTCCAAAATAACAGAAAATAGTGTAAGATGACAGCATGGATGGTAGTAATACAAAGCAGTTCTTGCTGACAGACCTGCTGTCCACTCTGAAAAATGTCCCGCTGTGTGTATGTGCAGCTGTCATCTCCACATGATCCGACATCAAATGTCTTAACTTGGTTTCTGAGCGACAGTTTGTCAGTTTACTTTGTCTCAGTGAGGAAGAAAACCCCAAACAGTTCAAGGCTGCAGACCTTCAGTGTGTATTCCAGCTGCTGCTGGTTTTGTGCCATAAATCAGGGCAAGCTGTGATTAAAACGTCAGATTCTCACAATAATGTAAGGAAGTAAAATAGAGCATGGCTGCAAGCGGCAAGTCAAAGTGTGGAATTTCTCCCACTGCACCGATCTGAGCGTCGTTTGATGTTATTTGCATGTCAAAGGTCCCTATGTATGTGCTGCTGCAAAATGCAGTCTATTAACAGGTCTTGCATATAACTAAAGTGTATGAGAATAAATGCAAAAGCCCTTCAGTTGCTCCAGATCAATTTGTGTGTCTCAGGTGACATACTAACATCTGAATGAATGAATCGTGCAGATGAACCGTTATTTTGCCATTTCTTTAACCATGAAAGTAGCACCTTAAAAATCCTGTGGCAGTGGGATGTCTGGAGTCGTGACTGGGAGGGCCTCTGATTAAATTCCCAGACCAGTGCAAAGATCAATGCAGGGAAATTAAATAATTAAATTAAATAAGCTTAGCTTCTCCTTCCACCTTTGCGATGCCCGCGGGAGCAGCTTTTAGCTCCTAGTTGCTGCGGTGGAGCGACAGCGACAGCTAGTTGCTGCTGTCGCTGTAAAGGTGTGAAGGTGCCTGAAATTAAGCAGCACGCTTGACCAAGTTTCATTTTCCCCTTTGACAACATTGTTATCAGCCGCTGGTTTGTTGGCTGTCGTTTCTCACAATTACACAATGGTGCATTAACTTATGTAAAGTGCTTAGGAAGAAATGTTGATGCACTTTCTTATTTTATTGTTACTTTATACAAATATCAACACAACAAAGTGTTTTAATATAATAATATAATTTTGATATAATGGATATAAAATATCATCAGTAGTACGCATTAACACTGGTAAAAAAAAAAAAAAAACTTGGCTGATATATCTTATTGTTTTTGTTGTTTTCTGTACTAATAAACAAATGAATAAAGAATATTTACAAAATATCCTGAACACTTATGTTTTTTTTAAGTGTACCTCGACTTATCCATCTGTCCTTTTGTCTTTTAGCTCCCTCTGTCCCACAATCCATTTCTGCTCTACTGGGACTAATTACTAATTAACTTTCAGTCCCACAGCGCAAACAGAGTCGCAGAGGGTCACAGCGACATACAGTATTTAATCACTTGTTGTGCGTGTGCATAAATGCCTGCATCGACCCTTTTATGCGTGCTCCATGCCCCTATAACAGTATCCAGTATTTCTGGAGGATTGACTTTAAAAATAAGAAGTACTCATTGTGCCTTTTTTTCCGTGCAGGAGGCAACACCATGACAACAGAAATGCAGGAGATCGCCATCACGGAGGATAAGCCTTTACTCACGGGTCAGGCTGACACCACCAAGGTCTGAGATGGAGCTCTTACAGATACATGCATGTTATACAAGACTAAATCTCCAATATACTATGATTTAATGTAATCTGATCAATAAAGAACATCCGCACACACACACACACACACACATACACATACACACACACAGACACAGTGAGCATGACATGAAAGCACAAGCAAACCAAGAGAAAGAAAAAGAGGGCTGGTGTATGTGCAATTGTGTCACTATGTGTCCTTGCTGTGCATGTGTGCATGAATGAAAGTGTTTTTGAGTCTGAACAAAGCCTACATGTGACAACATGTGTTCCAAACACATTTGTGCATGACTTTGTGTGTCAGTGTGTACTTAAATAGATGTGTGTGTGTGTGTGCGCACAGCTGCAGCGCTGGCTCATATCTGCCAGGTTGACGTCAAAGCCCTGAAGGATCGGGAGCAGATCCTTTGCTCTGCTGGGCTGATGTTGCTGTGCAGATGCAGCGCTGCAGAGCAGAGCCCCCTTGTGGACAAAGAGCACAACACAGTAGTGAAACAAAAACAACAGAGATTTTTCTGCAGTGGTTCTCCTGGTGTGAACCCCAGCTTTGGCTTTTCTCAGTTTGCACATTCTCTAGTTGACAATGTGGGCACTCCACAGTGTGGCTTCCTCCCATGGTCCAAAGACGTGCATGTTTGGATAACTGGTAATTAACTCTAAACTAGCGATTGTGGCTGAAGAGTTGGGTGTTCGTCTTGTAATCGGAAGGTTGCCGGTTTGAGCCCCGGCTCAGACAGTCTCGGTCATTGTGTACTTCACCTACCGCCTACTGGTGATGGCCAGAAGGGCCGATGGCGCGATATGGCAGCCTCGCTTCTGTCAGTCTGTCCCAGGGCAGCTGTGGCTACAACTGTAGCTGCCTCCACCAGTGTATGAATGTGAGAGTGAATAAATAGTGGTATTGTAAAGCGCTTTGAGGGGTACCGAAAAGCGCTATATAAATGCAATCCATTATTATTATTATTATTAGCCATTAATGTGAGGGACTCTGCAGTTTCTAACTCTATCCAGTGATTTTTTTTAAATCTATTTTCCGAGCTGTGACTAGCATTGATCTCTTTTAGTAACTAATTTCCTGATTTTTAATTGTTCTTAATAATTAATTAATACTTCTTCCATCTTGATATATGCTTCAGGTAAAATGGTAAACAGCAGTTTTATCAGAACATGACCAAAAACACAAGAAATAATGCTGAGACATGATGAGATTCACAGAGAATTAGAAGTGAACAGACAAACCAGTAATGGACAAGCGAGATCCGGGACTTTATATACACCACACATGGTGACCTATGACCAGCCGTCATAGGGCGAGAGGCGGGGCATACCCTGGGGAGGTTGCCAGGCTGTCACAGGGCTAAAAGATGACAAATCAGTCTCACCGATTAATCGTGGGAGTGTGGAAGGAAGCTGGATTACCCCGAGAGAGAACCCAAACAAGCACAAAGAGGACATGACTTCACACAGTATTCAAACCCAGGACCTTCCTGCTGTGAGGCAACAGTACTAAACTCTTTATATACACACAAGGAGCTCATGGGGAACAGTTAGAAACAATCAAGAATCAGGGTTTACAGGAGGATAGTACAAAAAGCTCCTGTGTTTTCTACATACAAGTCTTTGACCTCAGTGGGAAAATAAATGAGGTCAAAGAATTAAATCAAAATTTGTAAAAGAGGAAAAAATCAACCCAGAGAGTGTGACCGCACTTATGAAACAGTAGCTGTTGTTGACGTGGTTCTGCTGTGGACTACCGGACACACTTGGCCCTGTCGGTTCTTCATGCACCCACAGTGTCCTACCAGTCACAAAGTTAAATGAAGTGCTTGCCCTCAACTTATGTTTTCTCTTCCCGCTGAGATGATTTAACTCTTAGGCAAGACCCACAGCATCCGCGTCTGAAGCCAGATTAATTAATGATAATCATAAAGTCTGGCAGTACAGCCTTCATACTTACTAAAGCTGGGCTGCCAGACAGACGAAATGAGTTTTTAACCAATGCAAAGAGAATTACACCATCATGACTTTGATCATTTTAATATAGCAGTCTTTTTGTGCATAGAGTATTTGACTTTCACAGGGCAACAACTTCAAAACAACTCGATAACAAGTAGCTTTTACTGCCGTAGTCTGCCTGTGGGCTTATTGCTTATTTTTTATAACTCTAAATATATGACATATGAGAACTGGAGTGCTTTTCAGCTTGATAAATGCATCATGGTGTTCATTTGTGCTTGTGATCGGTCTAATGGTGCGTCCCTTTGAGTTTCCTCTTTCCTTTTTGGATTTCAGCAGCAAAAAAATGTATTGTCCATGTAACTCAGAGACCTCTGAGCAAAAATGACAGAATAAAGAGGGGTGATGCAGACAGAAGCTCTAAAGATACGGAACATATAAACTAAACTGGAAATAAAAAGCAGCAACCTGTAACAACCTGTAATAATGTGTTTTTCACCCTACAGAGTGAGGGTGTGAGATGTGGATCAACTTTTTTGTGGAAAAGGTCACATAATGGTTCAATTTGTTGATCATTATGTATCACTCACTGGTATCTACTCCACCCAGGTCACAACCTCCACAGTAATTGATCGACAGTCAAGGTTTTCAATAATCAGGCCCCATCTCATCCTAACGACCTCATAGTACCGTATCACCCTATTAGAGCACTTTGCTCTCAGACTGCAGGCTTACTTGTTTTTCCTAGAGAATTTAAAAGGAGAATGGGAGGCAGAGCCTTCAGATCTCAGGTCTCTCTTCTGTGGAACCAGCTCACAATTTAGATTCAGGAGACAGACACTGTTTCTACTTTTAAGATTAGGCTTAAAACTCTCCTTTTTGATAAAGCATATAGCTGTGGCTGGATCAGGTGACCCTGAATCCTCCCTTACTTATGCTGCAATAGACCTCAGCTGCTGGGGGCTTCCCATGATGCAATTCTTCACTCTCTGTGTGTTTATACACCTCTCTGCATGTAATCATTAGTTAGATTAAAATTTTCTCCGGCTCTCTTCCACATCATGTCTTTGTCCTGTTTTCCTCCCCTCACCCCCAAACAGTTGCGGCAGATGTTTATAGTTATTATAGTTTCGTATTTTCCAGTTAATTTGTATTTTTATATCATTTTAACTTTGTTTTTAATTCAGTTTACTTTCAGTTAGTTTCTAGAGTGGATTTTCTAATTTCAGTTTAGTTTTAAATGTATGAAAATGTTTAGTTTTAAGATTTAAGAAAAATCAGTTTTGATTTTAGACACCATTCACAATAAACATGTCTCTCGTTTTTACTAAACTAACAGGTACTAAAACTAATGACATTTCCTCGACCTTTTTGACTTATTTTATTATCAAAGTTCAGTTTTTTCGATTTGTTTTATTTATTTCAAGTCATTTATTTCAGTACTAAAGTGTTTTTTTCAAATCTAGTTTTAGTATTTAGTTTCATTTAGTTAACTATAATAACCCCGCTCCCTGAGCCTTTTCCTTCCCACCGCCACCAAGTGTTACAGAGAGGATTGTCCTGGTCATTGGGTTTTTCTCTTTATTATTTTAGGTCTTTACCTTACAATATAAAGTGCCTTGAGTTGACTGTTGTTGTCATTTGATGCTATCTAAATAAAACTGAATTGAATTAATCGAGCCAGCAGCCTCTCTTCAGTCACCAATCCTCTAGGACTTCCTCTTTTCTCCTCAGCGATGACTTCCATCTGTGCCCACGCCCATCTCCACTTCAACTTCCCACACTGTTAATTTTCTAAGAGCTTGTGATGCTAGTAATTCATTAGTGGGGTAAACAGATCCAAGGCTGCAAGTGAGCCACCCGTTTGAAACCCGCTGTCAGTACTTCCTCTGTTTAATGCCAGGCATGTCACAACCACCTGCTCCTCTGAAGGGGCTCTCTGCTGGGGTATCAGCTGCATAATGCTACCCATCCTGCCTTTGTGGGTGTCAATTAGGAAGCAAAGCCTCTCTAGACATGAAAGAACAAAGAAATGAAAGAACAGCAGGCTGAGATGTCACTCCTTTGGACTCAATTTTCAGTAATGCACGCTAAAAAGATACATTTAAGGAGTCCTAATTAAGATTTTTTTTTAAGAAGCAAAGTGAGATTTATTCTGATTTGTTCAGCTGGTGGATAATGAGTCCTTCTTAGTTTTTAGCTTGATTTACTTTTAAATAAATCTTGTCCCTGTAGTACCCAAACAGGCAGGACATCACTTACTTCCAAATGTAAAAAGAAATCTTTGTGCACATTTTGCTAATGAGACTGTCGCTCTTTTTCTAACAGGATGCTGAACTGGCTGCTAGGATACTCCTGGACCAAGGACAGGTGAGACTGTCTGTGAAATGCATGCTAATGTGTTTGATAGCTATAGCTTGATAGCTATAAATGAAATACACAGTTATTTTTATTCAACTTTATTCAAGTATATTTAGTAACTCTGCAGGGGCTTCTTTTCCAGTCAGTAGTCGATAGGAAAAATATAGAAGCGGAATGAAAATCGCTGCACAGAAGAGTTGTTAGTAGGGTTTGGAAACTATTAATAATGGATTTAGCTGTATTTTACAGATTTTTGCAACAAGACAGGTTTCTGTGAGTGTTTTATTTCTTCATTGTGCCCCTTTTCCATGAATATGGTGCCCATCCTGTTGTGTCCCACTGACTTTTGAAAATCAGCCCATTTTTTTGACCAGTTGAGAACTAACTTTGCATCGTACAGTCATGTAACAAGAACATTTTCACTGCACTCTCTGCAATTATGTAAAAAAAATTAAGTGCACTCTTACTGCTTCCATAGGAATTACGAGGTGCACTTGATTAACTCATCATCAGCAAGTGTGAGCAGAAGGTTTGGGGGTTTGCTGCTCTGGAGCATTCATACGTGTGTTAACACACAATGCCACTGTCTTTCTAGGAGTGGATATTGGAGCAAATTCCCCCCAGTTTCTGTATGTGCAACACTCAGAGATACCCTAAAGAAATACAAGAGCTACATCTCAGACTCTAAATGTTAGGATTTTAAATGTTAAAGTTCATGACAGCACAATTAGAAAAAGACTGAACAAGCTTGGACGGACTGCCAGGAGAAAGCCCCTTGTCTCTACAAAGAACATGCCAGCATGGTTTAAGTTTGCAAAGTTGCATCTGAACAAACCACAAGACTTAGACAGATGACACCAAAGTGGAGAGACCACGGCTGGAGAAAACCAAAGCATAGCATAACAAGCATAACAGCACGAACAGCTCATACCAACTGACAGGTGGTGGAGGGGTGACGGTTTGGGCTTGTTTTGCAGCCACAGCAGTTGGGCACCTTGCAGTCACGGAGTTGAGCATGTCCCCCTCTGTAGACCAAAGTATTCTAGAGTCACATGTGAGGCTGTCTGTCTGACACCTAAAGCTTGGCCTAAACAGGGATGCCAAACACACCAGCAAGTCTACAATCAAGTGGCCCAGTTAGAGTCCAGACTTCGACCTGATTGAAATGCTGTGACCTTCAGAGAGCTGTGCATAAATGAATGCCTGAAAACCTCAATAAAGTGAAGCAATGCTGTGAAGAAAATTGAGCTAAAATGTGTCCACAATGATGCGACAGACTGATAAAGCCGCACACAAAAAAAGTGATTGAGTTATTGCTGCTAAAGATGGCTCTACAAGCTGCTGAATCAGGTGGTATGTTTAGGTTGCAACAAACACAGCAGTACTACTAACCCAAAATACTCAAAGCTTCATAGAACTGAAACAAACATTTATTTTTAGATCCTTTCAGCTGCTGATACATACTTTAGGTTTCTGAATATTAAACTTGTTGCTGCCTTTCATAGTGTGTAACTTGAAGGCCCTGAGTACTTTCTCCCACACTGAAAACACTGGGATGATCAAATTATTTTTACAAGAAAAAAATATTTTCACAAGAGAAGGAGGACTGTGTTATTACGAAACAAGAAGAGTTCCCAGCTGGTACAGTGGACACATGTGTGACTCCTGTGATTAAAGCATCTTTCTTTCAGCTTAACGAGTGAACCGTCAGCTCGTTCAAACACACGTTAAAGTCCGTTTGGCTCGACACCACCGAACAGAGGCAGCAATATAACATAGCTAACATTAACAGTGCAGTGAATCCTGCTTGTGCTGTGATATTCAGGACTGCAAACCGAGCAGCATCGCTGACTTTCAGCCTGTGTTTGTGGATATATGACTGACTTTAATTATCCACAAAATCATCACATTCTGCCGTCTCAGTGTGGACGGGAGGCCAAAATGGAGAGAAAATGATGTTTTTGTACGAAAACGCATTAGTGTGGACGTAGCCATAGATAGAATAGGGGGATAGAAACATCCCCCTGTGACACTCTTATCTTTCAGCCTGTCTCAAGTATCGCAGTCTAGACAAATTGGATGACCTGAAGTGGAGGAATGGATATAGAACTTGCAATTTATTAACTTGAGTGTATACAAGGACCAGATTCATACATAATTTGCAAAGAGCTAGAGAGGAATACTCAGTTTTTGGAGACAAAATAAGAGGCAAGACATGGTTTGGACATGTGCAGTGTAGCAGTGGTGGATATCTTTGACAAAGGTTGTTGAATATGAAGAAAAAGAGAAAGAACTTGTTGAAGATGAGTTGGTGCAGGGTTGGTGAGACAGGGGAGGATGCTAGGGACAGGGCGAGAAGGAGGCAGACGATTGGCTGTGGCAAGCAGCCAAAAATAAAAGAAAGTTCATGCACCAAAAAAGTTAATTTTTTTTGTTTTCCATGCCAGATGTTACCATCAGGTTGACGTTGTTAAGTCTGTATTTGTTCGTGTTGCTTTCTCTAGGAGCACAGTGTTGAGACTCCACATGGCGTCCTGCACGTGACCCTCCATGGCACGCGAACCACCCGTAGGCCCGCTATCCTCACCTTCCACGATGTGGGTCTGGACAGTGAGTAGCTCTCTCTTTCCAAGTCAAACAGGCTCTTACTTTTTACTGATTGCGTTTTTTCCTCATTATCTTCGTTTACTCTGTTTTTGTTACCTGGCAGGTAAGAGCTGCTTCTCGCCTCTATTCAAATTCGAAGAGATGCAGGAGATCGTCAAGAATTTCACCCTGATTCACATCGACGCCCCAGGACAAGAGGAGGGGGCCGCCGCCTACCCTGCAGGGTGAGACAATCATCGTGTTTGATAAGGTGTCCTGCAGTAACCTTGCACTTTTTTTTTTAAAGTAAACTTCTGAGAAATGGAAACAAATCTTCCGTACAGGCCTGAACCTAATCTCTTCTAAAAATCCTTACCATTCTCCTCTCTCACATCTCCCCCTGCACCATCTCTGTTCTCTAATGCGCTCTTGTCAGAGGTTTAAACAAAATCCCTTCTTTTCTCTCCCCGTACTTCTTATTCCTTCCCCCACGAGTACTTCTCTATCACTCCCTTTCCTTGTGAGATTATTTTAGTGGCTCAGCAGGATTTTGTTTCATGTATTGTGACAGATTCTCAGCTCTGACCCTTCGCTTCCGCCGCTGCTTCTCGAAATTGAAGCTCATTCTCTTTGTGGTCTTAAATCCTTGTGGATAGAGGTGTTAGCCGTCGTATTTACTTATGAAATTTATCTAATGGATCAGCGCTGCCCAGCTACCATGAATAGGTTGAGGAGATCTTAGATAAGAATGAGTATTTCCTGGGTAACATAACATTCCTCACATATTTGTTTTTATATTAAGCCGCTTAATTGCATTAAGCTCATTTGTGTGTGCTGTTGTAGTTACCAGTATCCCTCCATGGAGACCATATCAGAGATGATCCCAGCTGTCCTGCAGTTTTTCAAGTGAGTTAACCGTATT